CAGCTAGCCAGTGTTGGTTATTCTTTGGGGGTAATTTAGTTTGTAAATTATTAGGTGTTAAATATCTTTTTCCATCCTAACTTATGCAGATATCGTAGTTTAATTTTTGCTAATATAATGTAATAATTCATGGCATGCTAAGCCAGTGCTTAAAGGAGTAAGCAGGATTATTAATTTGCTGGTAATTTTTGTGGTAGTTTGAAGATTGTTACAGACCTCACACCATAACTGGAACACTCCCCCAACTTATAAAAATTAAAAAAAAAAAGAAAAAAGAAAAAAAAAAGAAGAGAAAATAAATGGGAAATTTTGAAGTTTGTCTAATTGTGGGATTAATAGGGGATAAGAGTACGATTAACAGTTGAAAATATTTAGTAGATCAATGTGTTATTTTAATAGTAAAAGCTATAATTATTTTATTTTATTTTTGTTTAAATAAAATGATCAGATGTTTGTTGGACAATCTTCACTGTATTTAAAAGATTTAATTCTATTGTGTACAAAACAACAACTAGAATTTAAAGAAATAAAGAAAAGGAGAGAATTTGTTTGATTACAAAAATCAAACTCGAAATAATAAATAAATAAAAAAGCCACAGATTTTATTTTGTTACAAAAACAAAAAATAAAATCTGATTAAATAAACAAATAAAAAACAGAATAAAATTAAACAACTTACTTGGTTAATTTATTTGAATAACTTTTCTGATCAAGTCCAGTGTTTAACACTGTGTCCTTAAGACAGATTCGTCCTCTCCACGGTGCTTTCAGAATTTGGACGTCTATCTCCCAGGATTGAAATGATCTCTACAAACAATAGCAGCACTACAAAAGAATTATAATACTTACTTACCAGTCTAAAGTTCCTTTATCGTGTATATTTTCTGAAACAAGATCAATAAACAAGAGGCCAAAAAAACCATTGGGAAAAACCACCATGAAGACAGATAGAGGATCCATTGTACTTGAGCTTGCAACTTCAATGGAGTACTTGTCATTCTGATTTGTTGTCATCTGCTTTCTCTGTTAAATTGTGAAGGAAGAAACATGATTGAAACACCCCTTAGCTCATTTGAATGACCTCTTCCTTGTTCCAAAAAACTTAGGCCTATGTGCTACAGTTAAATTTTTTTGCATACATATTTAGTTTAATTTATTTGCTTAGTATATTAGTTGTAATTTTTTTTAATATAAAACAATTACAATATATAAAAAATTAAAAAT